GTGTTGTACTCTTTGGTTTTGTTTTCTGTTGTGTATGTTATTTTTAACTTGCCCAATTTAAACAAAAAATGAAATTTTCTTTTGGTACTATGCAATCATTGGTGTGCAATAGGAAATTAATTGTTCAATTGTTAATATCATTTTATGACTCAATTTTGTGTAGACCTATCACGTGTCACCGCCACTGTCCACGCTTCTGTTGAGTCTGCATTACCAGGTGGGTAACTTGGGCGGAGAGAACTTCAGATGGTGCAGGGGCCCCACACTCTGCTTCGTGAACTGGAGGCTTTGTTGCTGGTGTGACTGCAGTAAGGGCAGTGAGTGGAAAAGCGCTTCCCACAGTGCCAAGCACACCGACTGCTCCGTGAAGGTTAGCTGCCACTGCTATCTCAGAGTGAAGTCCCAGCACTGATGACAGACCATCTCCCTTGGTGGAACTACCCCAGATACAAATGACTGGTCAGTCTCGCTGAAAGAGGGAAAAGGAGCTTTAAGGAAATGGATTGTGACACCTTTGATGTCAAAGAGAAAAGGTAGCTGCCTGTGTTGACTTCCTCTGTTAAAAGCCTGTTACTTCTCAGGCAGGACCAGTGGGCATAAAAGCACTTTTTAGATGTCTCTTAGAAACAAACCCAGAATTTGGCAAAAGCTTGATGAGTGCTGCCAAAGACAGTTAATTTTTAAGGGCAGCTCAAGTCCAAGAGTAAGAATGTTTCTACTTACACATGTTTCCAGAGAGTTGAAGGTGGTAAAAAAAATGTTTTTTGACATCCACTGAGTATGTACATGCCAGAAACTGACAGGTATTTCATGTGCATTGTAATCTTCATTATCACTCCATGAGACAGGCACGGGGAAGGAATCCCCATGTACACAACAGGAAATGGGCTTGAAAAGGTTGCCAAAGGGCTGGTAAGTGTTGGAGCCGCACTGGAGGGTGCTCTCATAGAAGCTCCCTGGACAACACCTTGAAGCTGGCAGTCTGTCAACAAGAAGCCATACTTGTCCACTGCGTCATAATACATCCCCGAATCAGGTGGTGAAATGTCACCTGAGCTTCTGAGGATGACATCTCACAGCAGTCTGAATGGTTGCTGTGCCCAGACATACTAGTTGGAAACAATCACGTGAAATGGTAATGCAGTGATGGAAATAAATGCAACTTGTAAAGGTCTGAAGTATATAGTTCAAGATGCTGGCTAAGGTAAGAGGGTTTGGTCTCAAGTGGTTTACTTGGTCCTTGTAGGAAATGCTTGTGGTGGACGAGGAATGAGAACATTTGGCTAAAGTCTGGCCTTGGTGTACCAGTTGCCATCTCTTCATATAAGGTTTAATGGGTACAATTAACTGCTAAAGTGCTTGTAACAGGGCTCGCTAGGTATGTGTTCTCCTGGCCTCTCTCGGCTCTATTCGATGCAACTGACCAATCTAGTTTTTGGGATACTTGCAAACATAATTCGAAGCCATTCTTCTCTCACCCTTTTTTCTCTCACGTGTTATTTTTCATTAATAGTGGTTTGTCCTGTACCCAGTTATCCCTACTGCTCTTCTCTGGTGACACTTTCTTGAGAGTTCATTTATTCCCAGGGTTATAATGAACACTTCTTACAACCCTGGGTAAGGCCATTTTGCCTTTGATCGGGACCCATCAAGGGAGCACTGAGCTACCCCTGCTGGAAGGAGCACACTTCCTACCCCAGCCCTTCAGACCAACAAGAGAGCTTGTTGCGTGGCAGGTGGGTGAATTCTGCCTTCTGCTAAAATCTGGCCTAGACCCCTGCAAGGCCCCCTCAGGAGAAGCTGGCTTTGGAGCACGGCTCTCACAGTGGTCCCTCATTCGCACTCCTCCCAGCTGAGGTGGTCTGTGATCCTAGAGCCGGGTGTAATTTACAGAATGATTTCTTCCTTCATCTGTTCATTATTCTTAGTCCCCACCTGGCCCATGCAGAGCTTTGAGTAGGTAACTGATGAGGGCCTGTGATGATGACTTGGAGGACAGGTGCTGTTTGGCCATGAAACAAGCAATTATCTCCTCAATGTTTGCTCTTCTGCTGAATCCGGATGGAGCCTCCAGGCAGGGCACAGGTGAATACTTTCTTTGCACCCAGAATATATTCATAGTCAGCTGTGTCAGGCACTGGGCATAAAGAATATATTAGTATTCATATTTAATGACCATAAGGTACTAGGAGCTGTGCATGAAGCCATATAATGAGATCGTCCTGCAAAGCTTATGGAGCCTAGTAGAGGAGACAGATGGAAGTAGGAATTATAATACAGGGTAAGCAGAAACAGAATGCCAAGGAGCACCTGGCAGGAGATAGGCATCATTTCCTCCAGGAGGACCCCGGAGTGGAGTGCTATGTGGTAGGTTGGTTAGCAGAAGATAGTTAGAGTGCTTGCTGACATTTTGAACAGGGAAGCAACAGCGGCCGAAAGAGGTGGAGATGAGTTAGGTTTAGATGTGTTCAATTTGATGTGCTTACGGGATGTTTTAATGCAGGGGGCCTTTTTGCTCAGGTGACAACTAGGTTAGAGAGGTCAGAGCTGTCCCCAAATGGTGGTAACTGAAGCCATGGGAATGACTGTATTACCCAGGGTTCCTATGCAAAATAAGACTCTAGGAGAATATACTCAGGAGCAGTCGAAGTAAGCCCACAAAGGAGACAGGAGTGGCCAGAGATGTAAGAGGGTCCTGGGACAGAATAAAGCATGAAGCTAAGGGGCCGGCTCCTTAAATTCTGTGGACTCTCCTGTTTCCAGACAGGGAAAAGTCTAGGCGGAGGATTCTGAGAATCACTGCTGAGTTCTTGAGGAGGACTGCAGATTCATCACTGTGCCAGGCCCTCCAGCTTCTCCCTCTCCACCACCCCGCTCTGGGGCTCACACTGTAGTTATCTTCTCTGCTTTGTCTGACCCACCCACATAGCTCTCTGTCAAGTCTTGATGTAGGTTCCCAGACCTAATGACATTTCAGTCTACTTGAGTTTTTCGGGAGGGTTTCCCGGTCTTTCCAACAGATTTTCTTTCTACAAGCTCGTGACAAAGTCTCCTGCTCCCGTGTTCTCAACAAGCTGCGCTGCCCGTCTAGAAGCCCTTGCTTTGCTAGTACATTAGGTTGTTTCTCCCTGGTTTACCAAACATAAAAATCTCAACTTCCTACCAAGAAGTCAGCCTGGATGAGTCAGGATGCTTTCTGTTGGCTTGTCAGAGCAGCTTACTTCTGGCTCAAACATTAAGGAAAAGCTGTTTCATAGTTTGGTTGCAAAGACTGAGTCACATGTGTGTACATTGGCCAAGGCTGAGGCTAATTTGATTGAGTAAAATGGATGTTGGAAATCAGTCACCAGAACTAGATTCATGGAAAGGGGTGAAATGTATCATCTCTAATAACTATGAAATTCCAGCCATCCCTGCTTAGCCCACCCAAGTGTTTACCCTTTACTCAAACACACCTTGCCAACCCTGACAGCTGATGGTGGTTAGATGTTCATCATGCTCAAATACTTGTGCCGAGGTGAGAGACGTCCAGACTGACCCATACAGAATTATTTATTAGTGTATTTGAGCCAAACTGACAATTGCAGGGAAGCAAAACTCTCGACTATAAAAGTGCTCCAGAAAATGGCAGTTTTGCAGCTCGTTTTATACACTACAATCTAAGAAGGAGATGAAAGGGGGTACATGAAACTCACCGGTGGTAGATTAGGGGGCAGGAGGAAGCGAAGCCGGGTGGTCTTGGAGACCAGAAAGACTCAAATGGAGAGACGCACACCTGGGGAGAGCACATGCCACACCGGGGTGGGGGTGGGGGGTTGGGGACGGCACAGAGGTGTAGGCGGGGCGCACGGGGACAACGAGGGGCTCTGTGGGCTTGTGCTCTGGGACAGTGGGGGCACCTGGAGGGGTCTGTCTGGGAAGGGGACCGTTCCCACATTCCAGAGAGGTATGTTCTCAGATGCACAGACAACAGACAGGCTGACTTCAGGCAAAAATGGACCTTTGTCCAGGCAGCTGCAGGCCTGGGACGCGACGAGGCGCCGTGGTTGACTTTTAGTGAGGAGCTTCTCTGTTCAGATCATCCACGGGGCTCCTTCTCGTCTGAGTGTGTGGGGCCGCCAGGCGGGCCTCTGCTGAGCTTGTCCGGTTTAGAACTTGGAAATCTCCACGACACTGGCTGACTCTAATCTCTGTCTTACGGAGAGAGGGCTTCACGCAGCTCTGGGGATTGTTAAGGCTTTTAGATGATAATTCTGAAAATTCATTAACATTTAGTAAGCATTAAGTCCTTCCCGCGTGTCCGACACTGTCCCAGGTGCTAGAGAGAGCATGACAAAGCCAGACCTCTGTCGGGGAGGCTAGCCTGCGAGGTGTGTCCGGGGGAACACAGCCAGAGCAGGGGCTGTAAAAGGACTGGGGCCAGAAGTTCGGGTTCCTACGGAGCTCTGACAGACTTTGAATTTTGCCCAGTGAGGGGCAGAAAGCCGAAAAAGGTTTTACGGATTAGAGGCCCTCCCCTTCGGATTGTCCGCACTGCAGTCAGAGGCAATCCTTTTGACTTGTGCGGCACTGAGGCACGTGGAGCTGAGCTGACCCGACACGGCGCGGAGTCCGCCCACGGAACTGCAGCGAGAACAAAGTGAACCCCTAATGGGCGCCGTGGCGAAACGGTGGTGGGGGTGTGGGGCGCGGGGGTGCCGCTTCCGAAGCCAGGCCAACAAAAGCATACAGCGGCGCGGTCCTCGGGCCTGCAGGATTCGCACTGATATTCTCCTCACTGGGTTTCCAGTGGTGGGTGTAACGCTTTAACTGACTCGCAAAACACTAAAACCAACACTCCTCCCGAAACAAAAGCGTCTACAGAAAATGCAACACTAGTCTCAAGCGGTAGTGGGCGGTGAGTTTCTTACTCAGAGGTCCCGCCTCCGGGCCCAGGCCCGGCCCCGCCCCGCCGGCCCGCCCTCGCGCCTGCGCAGGCGGTGGGCGGGGGCGGCGTGGGCTCCTCCCCTCAGTGTGGTCAATCCGCCCCAAGGGAAGGCTTTTTCTTCGCTAGCTGCCGCACAGTGTTCTCAGCAGCGTGAAGTGGTCGTGTGGCAGGATGAGTGCGGACTCGGACCCCGTGGTTATCGTCTCGGCGGCGCGGACCGCCATAGGTGAGTGGCTGGCGGGGCCTGCGCAGGGATCCCTGGGACGCCTGGGACCCTCAGAACTAGGAGTCTCACGCCTCCCCGGGCCGGCCCATGAGGCCCGCTCCCACTCGCCCGGGTGAGGATAGTTCTTTTTCACGTGCTCTGATTGGCTCTCCGGGTAGAGCCACTGCGCCGTCCGACTCTGCCATTGGCTGACGGAAAGAGGCGCTCTCTCGCGACCTCCTGATTGGCTATCTCAGCCCTGTGGCCTCAGGAGAGGGGCTGCTGGGTGGTCTGAGTTGGGGCACCCGGCAGAGAGGTCTTGCTGGTGGTCCCAGGGTTACTGTGACTTGCCTTCTCCTCCTTAGTGCTGTAGCGTTCAAAGCCCTTGGACGCGCGGGAGGGCTGACCTCTTCTGTTAGGGCAGCGTGGCCCCTGCGCTGGGACCTGGGGATGAACCGGCCAGCTTCCTGCGGGTCCATGGCTCTCCGCGAGCTCTGGGAGCCCCCTGCCCAGGTCTCGGATGCTGCGAGTCACACGCGCTCGGCTTTGTACCCCAATGAGCTGCCAAGGGCGCCTGCGCAGGGGGAGAGCCCAGGTCTACCGCCCCCCCGCCGTGGGCGGCCTGTTCATCGCCTTCGCTTTCCCTTCTGTCCTAGGCTCCTTCAATGGTGCCCTGTCCACCGTTCCTGTACATGAGCTGGGCTCAACTGTCATCAAAGAAGTCCTGAAGAGGGCTGCCGTGGCTCCTGAAGAGGTGTCAGAGGTCATATTTGGACACGTTTTGGCAGCAGGTGTGATCCCGGCAGAGGGTTGTGTTTATTAGAAGCAGCCCATCAGCGACCCCCGTCTCCCACCCAAACTTTTGTTCTTGCCTCCATATACGTGACTCACAGAGTTCCTTCTGTTAGAATTATTCTTGTTGTCCCTCTGCCAAAACCCGTGAATAGCTCTGTCCACTCAGCATCTTTAATATGCTTTTCCTGAATGACCCTAGACCACCAATCTTCCACTGCCTTATCATTCTTTAGAAGCAGAGCCAGCGTGGCACATGGGACAGGATGCATGGCCTTTCCCCCCATATTCCCCTAAAGTGGCACACATTCAATAAAAATGTATTGAATTCCTCTTTCGTACCCCACACTGCTGTGCTAGGTGCTGGGGGGAGGGCTCCAACAATGCAGGTAAGGTCCTTGCCCTCACAGGTCTCACTTAGGAGCTGGTAAGGCAGGTTGGCTTCACGCTACTCACAGACTGGCTGAATCACTGCTGGGATGGGCACAGGTAAGTCACCCAAGTGCTCCTGTCTCCTGATTCCCGCTGGGTGTAACAGACCAGCAGTCCCTGCCCATTCCTAATTAATTAGACGTGGTTTCATCACTCAGTAACATCAGTTCTAATTGTTCATGGTGATAATTGATAATGCTCACTAACAATCAGCTTTTGTCCTTACCCTCTCTGAGACCTGGCCTGTTTTTCCGTGTATTTACATTGCAGTTCTGTAGTTTCTCTTCCCAGTTCTCCTTCCCCCACTTCTCTGTATGGATCTTAACACTGAAGCATGCTGCTTTCTCATGACTCTTCAGGGCTTTAAATACAGAGTGCCCCTTTAGTTGCTTTCCCCTTCCTTCTCTACTCACACTTACTTGCCATGGGGTAGTCACCTGCTGGCTTCTCTGCTCTCCTTTCCACATCTCGCCTCTGGCATCTGCACGTGTTCTAAGAACGTGGAGCTATGTCTGGGGCGGGCTCTGCTTAGTGCTGGGCCTTTCCAGCACCAGGCTCAGTGCTCTCATTATTACCTCACTGAACAGGGAGTCAGTGAGTGGATGAAACTCGGAGAGGTTCAGTCACTTAGGCAAGGTCTGAGGTGGAGCCAGCCCCTCAGTCCACACCTGCCCTTGAGCACAGATCTCGTCTGCAGTCATATAACAAATACTCCCACAATCATATAACAAAACTGCTGGCTGTGTGCCTAACAGCTAGAGTTAAGCAATGTTCATAAAAGGTAGAAGTTCTCGTTCTCATGGAGCTCAAATTCTGCTAAATGTTAAACTACTAATTAATTATGCTCAACATTCATTTCTTAACTCTTAAATACCTGAAGACGAGGATTATGAATAAATACATAAAAATTTTTAAAGATTTTATTTATTTTTAGACAGAGGGAAAGGGAGGGAGAAAGAGAGGAAGAGAAACATCAATGTGTGGTTGCCTCTCACGAGTCCCCTACTGGAGACCTGGCCTGTAACCCAGTCATGTGCCGTGACTGGGAATCCAACAAGTGACCCTTTGGTTCACAGGTTGGAACTCAATTCACTGAGCCACACCAGCCAGAGCTAAAATTTTTATAAAGGATTTATTTACTTAAATGCATATGTAATTCATGGTAACTTAAAAAGCAGGAACCTTCCCTGGCCAGGTAGCTTAGTTGGAGTGTCCTGGTGTGCCAGGGTTTGTAGGTTCAGTCCTTAGGGCACATACAAGGAGCAATGAATGGATGGAACAATAAATCAACATTTCTTTCTCCCCCCTCCCTTTGTCTCTAAACCAATGAATGCGACATTGAGTGGAATCACAACTGATGTTTCTTTCTACCTTCCTCTCTCTTGAAAATCAATTTTAAAAAAGCAGGAACCTGAAATAATATTGCCTTCTTCATTAACTGGTGTCCTGTGAGTTTAACTCAGAATATTTTAATATTCTTTTTAATGTTTTTCCTGCATCTACTCACAATGTCCAGCCTAACCCCAGATTAATAACATTGTGATGAATAGAACCTCTACGTTTTTGTCAATGACCCGTTTCCTCGTTTTTTTTCCAGCAGCCTCACCAAGGCAAGCTGCTAGGCAGGGCGTGTGGGTAGTTTGCAGTAGAGTGACTACTGCACAGACACTGCCTGACCCTCCGGTGCAGACAGTGGTGACTGGGAACAGCTGATACTTCCAGTGGTGTCCTCTGCCCTGGTACCCTGATTAAATCCAGTGTGTGATGTTTCTTCCAACCCTGTCAGCACTCCCCCACGGTTTTTGTTCTGCGCCGCTGGTTGCGTAACCAGTTAACCAAGGTGTGGTGAGTGTTCAGGAAAGAGGTGCTTCTCATGAGAGGTTTTCTGGTTTCAGGAACCCTCTTGCCTTCCCACGGCTGAGGCATTGGAGCCATGGCCGCAGGGCACACAGCCTAGTTAGAGATGTAATCAGTGCCCCTGTTTGGCTCTTATTGATGAGGGAGCGTGGGCTCATTCAAGCCTTATGAAAAGGTCCAGAAGACAGTTCGCTCTTAATGCATTAATAACTTCATGGAGAGGAAGGCTGGCATCCAGGGATGTCTGTAGAGCAGCACGAGATCACATGCGCGCGAGGGCTGGATGGGAACAGATGAGGGTGCGCCGGGCCTCTTTGCCCTGGGAGCGCTTGCCTTGACGGTCTCGGGAGGCCCAGACGCCAGCCTGACTCAGCGTGTGCCTCCACCCAGACGTTTTATTTCGGGTTGCTGAGAGGCCTCTGTGTTCCTTCCCCCAGGTTGTGGGCAGAATCCTGTTCGACAAGCCAGTGTGAGTGCAGGGATCCCCTACTCTGTTCCATCGTGGAGCTGTCAGATGATCTGCGGGTCAGGCCTCAAAGCCGTGTGCCTCGCAGCCCAGTCCATCCAGACGGGAGACTCCAGCATCGTGGTCGCCGGAGGCATGGAAAGCATGAGCAAGGTGGGACCGCCGGCGAGTTGGCTGTCACAGAGCTCTCGCTGGCAAACTCATAGCAGAGCAGGGACCAAATGGAAACAAACAAAAAGTGGATCCAGCCCCCATCCCTTCCTGAATGTTAATTATTTTCCAGATTAGGTGAGAAATTTGGGTTAAAGATAAAGCCTGTCAATCAGCGTGATTAGAACAGAATGGTTTGTATAAAATGTTAACGAAGCATAAAGTATTTTCTGAATCAAACCTATAATGGTAGTCAGTAGATGTTTTTGGTCTTAAACTTCTTTCTCATTTTGAGGAAAAGTCAAAAACAGATGTTGCCACTTGCCTTCCTGCACATGACAAAGAGGACCCCAGGGACCAAATTTCATTGACCTTTGGGGGGTATAACATGTAGAAAAGAGGACCACCGAGCAGTGCCCTTCTCCAATAAGCTTGCGAGGTAGGATTTGCTTCACAAGTTCCATCCCTCGAACTGCCACAACAGAGAGGAAAAGTACACCCCCTGCTTCAGACAGGCGGTTTAAAGGTCGGCCCTGGGACCCCCTAGCCAGAGGCCCCTTCGGCCCAGGCATTGTGGAGGCCCGGGAGGGCAGCCGGAGGTGTCACATGCAGTAAGTGTGGTGACCCCTCCGGAGGTGCTCGTGTGTGTGCCGCCACAACGGCCCTTGGAGGGTAGAAGGTGTCATTGCCATTCACTGAGGCCCAGAGCAAGGGTTCAGGCACAGGTCTTCTGCCTCCAAATCCTGTGTTCTGTGGCTGCCATTGAGTTGGTAAGAGTTAAGGGGATACCTTACCTACATATCCCTCCCCATCAGTTAATTAGGCAACCTGATTATTCTCACCACGGGTATTATGTCTCCCATCAAAGTAAGTAACAGACTGTTAGTATCACTTAAGCTGCAGGTGGCAAACACAAGGCCAACAGGCCGAATCCAGCGCTCCACCTTGTTTCTACCTGGCAGGCAGCGCCAAGCTGTCACTTAACTGTTAAGGAGCAGGTGTATTTACACAGTCCCAAAATTGCACTCGGCCCTTCGAGGGCAGCTGTGAGGCTGATGTGGCCCCTGGAGAAAATGAGTTTGACACCCCTGATAGGCAGGTAACTGGTTCTCTCTTTGGAAAGAGGTTCTTAAAGAAAGGACACAGCAGGGATAGGTTTAACAGGAGATGGAAATGGGCAGGTAGGAAAGTAACAGGCTTCCAAGAGCAGAAAGGAGGACTGGTCTGCTGATTCTAGGGCTTTTTGGGCCCTGGACCCTGAGTGAGGAGGAAGATGGGCCAGCGCTGGGGAGAAGAGTCACAAGGAGAGTGGAACTTAGGGACTACTGGATACTTAAGAGGGCGTCCTGAGGAGAGGACTAGCTCTAACCAAGCCTAAATTCATTGTACTTGTTCTAGGCTCCTCACCTGGTTCACCTGAGGACGGGAGTCAGGATGGGGGAAACGCCGCTGACTGACAGTATTCTCTGCGATGGCCTTACGGATGCTTTTCACAAGTACCACATGGGCATTACAGGTAAGGCACACATCGCTGAAGACATGCTTACTGTAAAAAGGTTAAAGTCATAGTAGTTGCCTCCACAGGTGCTTCCCTCCTCATTATGAAATCCTATTCGGTGGGATGCCTTGCTTTTCTGCATAATCTTAGTCTAATCTTGAGGAAACAACAAACCCAAATCAGGGATATTTGACAACAGAATTGGTCCTTGCTCTTCAAAATAACAAGGTTAAGAAACACAAAGTCGGTCTGAGGAACTCTTCCAAAACAAAATCCTAAAGAAACTGATGGTGAAACGCAGCGCATGATCCTGGTTGGGTCCTGAGGAAATAAATTAGCCGTAAAGGACATCATCAGGACAGCAGGCGGAACTGGAACATAGGCCCAGAATTAGAGAATGGTAACATATCAGCGTTCTGCTTCCTGATTCTGAAAGCTGCAGTTATATAAGCAAATGGCCTTGTCTGGGGGGAACACACACCGACGTTAAAGTTTAGGGATAAAGGAGCGTGGTATCTTTAACTTTCAGATGGTTCGGAAAGAGAATGAGGAACCAGCTGGGGCAAAAATCAGGGAAACTTCTGAAAGTTTAAAATTACATAAAAAGGAAAAGACAGAAGGAAGCAGAGAAAGAAAATGACTTCTTGATAAAGTCCCCGCCGACATTTCACACCCGTCGCCAGTGGGAGGCGGGGTTGCGTGCAGAACTCCCAGCCTGCCTGGAAGCCTGCTGGTGGTGGGCGGTCAGTGCTTGTTTCAGAAACACTGGAGCGACCAAAAGCCAGTTCCTGAAGATGTTTGGTTTTGCTTTATTTTTCCCACAGCTGAAAATGTAGCCAAAAAATGGCAAGTGAATAGAGAAGATCAGGACAAGTTTGCAGTTCTGTCCCAGAACAAGACAGAGAGTGCACAGAAAGCTGGCCATTTTGACAAAGAGATTGTACCAGTTTGTGTACCTTCTAGAAAAGGTGGGTATATAAATCCTGATTTAAACATCAACATGGCTATTTACAAGTAAGAGTAATATCCAGAAGAATAATAGATGGGACTGTTCATAAATTGCACGCTAGCTCTGTCTTTCAGGTTGTAACTGGAGAGATCTGGGTGCACCTGAATATGGGTGTGGGGTGAGGCGTCTGTGGGACAGTGCTCAGCCACTCTGGACACCAGGAGTCCACACTGCCTAGGAGGTAGCACAGACCTCCCTAGAGCTCGGGCTCGGGGCTGTGAGGAGGCAGCCGCTGACCTTTCCCAGGACAGGTCTCCTCCACAAGTTAACATCCATTATTTTCTGCTGCTTCTGTGTGCATTTCATATTTCTTGGGTAAATATTTTGGGGTCCCTTTTTTAAAAAATCTTTTATTTTAGAGAGGGGTAAGGGAAGGAGAAAGAAAAATGTTGATGTGAGGGAGAAACATCATTGGGTGCCTTCCATAGGTACCCTGACCAGGGCCGGGGACAGAACCTGCAACCTGGGCATGTGCCCTGACCAGGAATCAAAGCAACCCAGCAACCTTTCTGGTTGCAGGATGACACTCAGCCACCCGAGCCACACCAGCTGGGGCTCAAGTTCTACGAGTGTGGTTAACTGACATCTCTTATGTCCCACCCTCACAAGCTTGGCTTTCACATTCCCGGGTCCGGTCGACTATAACCAGCCCAGTCCCGTGCCCGAGACCATAGCCATTTTGCACAAAGAACTGCCTGTACCTACCTTCCTCGGAAAGGGCTGTGGATATGGGAAACTCAAACTGTCTCCTGAGACAGCGCTCATAAAACATTTTAAATTTACTTATTTTTAGAGAGAGGGGAAGGGAAGGAGAAAGGAAACACTGATCAGTTGCCTCATGTGCACAGAGCAAGGATGAAAAGCACAACCCAGACATGCATCCTGACTGGGAACCACTTTGCAGAATGACACCCCACCGAGCCACACCTGTCAGGGCAAATGTCCTAACACAACAGAATTTTTATTCATGTACACTTTCTTATTGGAATGAGAGTATTTTATGATAAACGTTCCTCCCAAATACGAATCTTCATGTAGCGGGCCCAAGGCACCCACCTGCCCCGCGTGCTGCCTGCCATCCCTGTTTTAATCCAGGGTTCATTTATTTTCTTTTTTTCAGGTCTCACTGAAGTTAAAACAGATGAGTTTCCCCGTCACGGGTGCAACACGGAAGCCGTGTCTAAAGTAAAGCCTTGCTTTCTCACAGATGGGACAGGGACTGTGACCGCAGCAAATGCTTCAGGTGAGACATGCCATCTTCTGGTAGCTCTGCCAGGTTAATTCTTTTTCTTTTATCTCATTAACTATGTGTACACGTTATTCTAAAAATTTGTTTTAGCTGCTTTAGGGAAAAAATGTTTTCAGACCGTAATCATTTTCTCCATATTTGATTGACTTATCCTATATATACTGAATGAATGGATCAGCTTTCCCAAATAGATGTACAGATGCAAAGGCAAACTAGGGAGCCCCCCTTCATCGACGACCTTTGTCCTTTCCCAGACCCAGGAAATCCACAGCCTCCTGTGCGATGAGGCTGTTTCTTCCATTTCTTGTTGGTCTCCCCCCCACCCCCCACACTGCTTTACTGTTTCCATTTCCTCCCTTTGGAATGTTCTGTGGTCAGTTATGTCCTATCGCCTAAGGTGCCATTTCTAATTACACACTAACATCTGAAATATGGCAGGATGGCTTTGCCAAGGTGTTAGCTGGTGTCTTCGAGTGTCAGAGAAGGTGAACACAGGTACACATGGAAGCTCACGAGCACTGCTTTAGACACCGAGACAGTCGCCTTTTGCAGGAATCAACGATGGCGCAGCAGCGGTGGTTCTCATGAAGAAGTCGGAAGCCGACACACGTGGGCTTGCACCTCTGGCACAGATAGTCTCCTGGTCACAAGTCGGTGTGGAGCCTTCCATTATGGGAACAGGGCCGATTCCAGCCGTAAAGCAAGCTGTGAGTTTAATTCTCAATGTTGGTTTGTTTCTGTCTGGGGTACTAGTGCAGTAACCTGCCATTCCACATTCAAGCTCTGCCTTCTGTAAACCTTCCAAGGTGCTTTCCGCACCAAAATGCCAAGATTGAGTTTGATCTTGCTTTCACATTCATTCCTATCAGGTTGTACTGGCTTTGTTTCCCTTTTATGAAAATCTTCTAGTTACCTCAAATGAGCTCCTTCATCTCCTTCCCTTTTATGAAAATCTTCTAGTTACCTCAAATGAGCTCCTTCATCTCCTGCCCTATACATTTGGATCATGTGCTTTAGGGCACAGGTGGCAAACACAAGGCCCATGTGCCAAATCCAGCCCTCTGCCTTGTTTCTACCTGGCAGCAGCACCAAGCTCTCACTTAACTGTTAAGTAGTTACATTTATAGTCCTAAAATTATAGTTGACCCTTTGAAGGCAACTGTGAGGCTATGTGGCCCCTGGTGAAAATAAGTTTGACACCCTTGCTTTAGAGGAACTGGTTCTGCTGTATCACCTCGCCTATGTATGACAGGTGTTACTGGTTCAACGTTCGAGATAGTCTGAATGTCTTAGAACTGGTGTCTAGGCAAAATGTGGCATCACTAGGCTGATTCAGGAACCCAGTCGACAGCTTTTCAAGACCCTTCAGTACCACAGTATGTCCCACCGTTACCCACAGTGAAGAATGGGCCCACCGTTTTAGACCTTTCCCATTCATCTTTCCTGTAGGTTGCAAAAGCAGGTTGGTCACTGGAGGATGTGGATGTATTTGAAATCAATGAGGCCTTTGCAGCCGTGTCTGTGGCAGTATCTAAGGAACTTGGATTAAACCCAGAGAAGGTAAACGTGAGCAAGCAGTCCAGAGGACAGCTTGCAGGGGACATGCACAATGCAGTTTTAAGACTGGAAACAGCAAACCCCATGTGTGTGTGTAGTTACATGGTATGTCCCGATCACTGTTCACGCAGTTGTAACGGGTGGGACTCACGGGTTCACTTATCTTGTTGCTTCCCAGGGCAAAAATCCTTGACATCATTCATTTACTTGAAATAGGAACAGGGTCTTAACAATTTTTTAAAACTAAGGAATAAGGGAAGGGTCAGGAAGAGGTCACAAAGGTATAAACCAGTTCCTAAGCAATGGAAAAGGGTAGCTTACTGGTATAACATTAAGAGAGAAAAGGTCATAGTTTAGGATTTTGACCGATTACCACAGAGTAACAAATCTTTCCCCCCCTCAGGTCAACATTCATGGAGGGGCGATAGCCTTGGGCCACCCTCTCGGAGCATCTGGCTGCCGGATCCTGGTCACCCTGCTACACTCAATGGAGAGACGGGGCGGGTGCCGCGGTGTTGCTGCCCTGTGCATTGGGGGTGGGATGGGGATAGCGATGTGTGTCCAGAGAGGGTGAGCCTGCCGAACTCATCCTGAAGCTCATTTCTTTCTATACCAGTCAGTCACTAACATGAAATCAGGACCAATGTCAGGCTGGATGCCACCTTCCACTGCACAAGAACACAGGAGGCTGACAGCTGGTTGTACTTTAATGTGGTATACACAAGACAGCTGCACCTCAGAGTGTCATAAATAAGAGCAAATCAGATCAGTCATCAAGGTCTCCCGAGTGAACAGCGTCTTCATAACCTCCATGCTTATCATCTTTGCTTTCTGGGTGTAATTTAATAAGATCATCAATTCGGAGAATGGTAATTGCAGCTTCTGTCGCAAATTTCAAACTCTTCACTTTAACTATGGTTGGTTCAAACACTCCTGCCTGTTTGTTGTCTCGAGGTTTGCCATTAATCAGATCAAGACCAATCCTGTAATTTAGGAAAAAAATCTTGGATAATGTTTTACCACACATCCTCCTCCTCATCCTATTGTTTTACAGTGATTGGCCCTGGCCAGGTAGCTGAGCGGGTTGGAGTGCCATCCCACCACACCAGGGCTGTGGGTTCGATGCCCTGTTGGGCCATGCACAGTAATCAACCAATGAGGGCATAAACAAGTGGGGCAGCAAACTGACGTCTCTCCCATTTCCTCTAAAATCAATAAAACTCTTCAATAGTAATAAAGACTAAAGTACTTCTTTATGAATGACAGAATCAGCACAGAAACTTTCTAAACATTATTTAGTAACTTAAGAAGGGGTTGCTTAAAAATAGCTATGGACCGGCCCCACGTAATCCCCACTGTTCCTCTGTGGGACTGTCCTGCAGGTAAAGTAACTACTCAGGTCAGGAGAGGTAAGGACAAACTGAAGACACATCAATGCTAATAAAAAGCACTAGAAAACAAGACTGATATATGAGCTAGACGACAATGAAAATGACTGAGAAATTGTGTACTTACCATTTTAGGTTTTTACGTTCTGGGTTCACTTGAGCCTCGTTATGAAAAGCTCTTAACTTTGCAACCAGATCAGTGGAGTCCTGGGCAGCATTCACTGCCAGTGTATTCGGAATGACCAGAAGAGATCGCGCAAACTCTGCAATAGCAAGCTGTTCCCGAGACCCCTAAGAAGGAAGACAATGAGGTCTTCACACAGTAAGACAAAACACAGCAGCCAAGATCTCAGATGAGGTGTGTTAGCAAAATGCTAGAGATGGTCTCCGGTGAGCTTCTTGGGGGTAAAAGGGGGGTTTCCAGACGTTCTTACCATGCTGGTTGCGTAGTTTTCAAGGTATATGGAGAGGGCTGCCTCTACAGCACCCCCTCCTGGAACCACAGACTTGGACTCCAGCACTCTCTTCACCACACACAGAGCATCGTGCATGGAGCGCTCCATCTCGTCACACATGAAGTCATTCGCCCCACGTAAGATAACTGACGCAGACGTACGAGCCTTGGTGCTATTAAAACACAAAGTGAACTTCTTAAACCAACACTTTCATAAAATTAAGTCTATATAGAATTAACTCATTATCAGCACTCTGATTCAATCTGCCTATGTAAGGTCAGTGGGACGCGGAAGCAGTGTCTAGACCATGCATGCAAGAGAGATGGAACGGCCACTCCACCCCCGTCCATGGTGGTCCAGTGTTCTTCTATCCCATGCGTATAACTGCTCACGTCACTGGGGAGACCAGAGCAGCAAATCAATGGGAAAGGAACCTGCTTTTATTCACTACTAAAATTGACAAGGATCTGTAACGGAGAAGGCAGCGCTCACTTTTTGATCAGGATCAGTTCATCATCACAGATTCTCTCCTGCACCACCTCTTCGGCCTGTCCCAGCATCGAGGCTTCGAACGTTTCATCACCTTCCAAATTGGCCAGGGTTGACAGAATAGTTGCTATTAAGATAATTACAAAGGTCTTGTAAGCATTGTTCTCCATGAATATTTCCATAGCTAGTCTTCGATTTAGAAACATTTATGAAAAGGTGATGTACTAATAATGCAAGTTTAAGTTTCCAGTTAGGCATCAGACAAGCAACTGTCCTTCTGTACAAGATAGAATTGTCACTGAAGTGAAGAAATTCAGTAAAACTAAAGAACTTTTCCAGGTACATGAAAAATGGCTCTATTAATACATTTGTAGATCATTACAGAAAGTGAATGAAACAATGGTAGTTTTTGAAGCTGCTGAAAGCACTGACATTCCAGGGCAGCTTCACGGTCATGTACAGTGACCTGAAATGTCACACCCGAGCGCCAGCGGAAGACATACCTCCAGAAGCTTTGGCAATGCGTTTCAGGTCCCTTTTCAAAACTCTCCTGACTGCCATCGCACCAGTCTCCACGAAGTACTTGAGACACATGTCATCAATTCCACCGGTGGTGAGGATGACATTGGCGCCAGCTGCCAGGATCTTCTGGATTCGCTCCTTGGTAATATCTGATTCTCTACAGATAAAGTAACCCAAAGATACTGTTTGTGTTTTTTACATAACCCAGCTTTAACTTCTGTAAGTATTTTTCACAAAATAACTGCAGATTAAGTAGTAACCAACCTTTCTCTTCTATGACTAGAATTTAAATCAGTCTAATTTTACGTAAAAGTTCCAGAGATTAAAAATTACCATTTAGCTTCCCTCAAATTTGAGTCCCCAAACCCAAGAACTGTGATTACAAAGGAAAAGTGTCCCTGCCCTCAAACACCTGGCAGGGGTTCGGACTGTCAACCATGTTCCATGGCCAATGCAGAGATTACAGGCACATGGGGGACAGAAACCCATCCTGATGGGCAGGATGAGGAAAGCCTGGGGGTCTTGAGTCGAGAGGGCTCAAGAGGAGAAACTGTGGGCAGGACCGAAAATGCAGAGCCCTGTAGTGAAGAGTTCGAGCTTAGTTAAATCTTTTGAAGAGCAGCGTGGTCAAAGCTGTGTCTTCAGAAGGACCCCGATGGCAATGTGGAAACCACCCAGGGCAGTAACGGGACCCAGACAACCGGAATGGAGGAGTCAGAGTTGACAGCTTTGGTGACTGGGAGGTTCAGCCACTGCTGGAGTAAAGGACACACTAAGAACCTAGGGGCAGGATGAGAAAGGAGAGCTGGGTTTTCAACAACATGAGTTTGAAGGCCAAGTATCTGTCATTCAGGTGACAAGCCAGAAGGCAAACAGATGGAAATCACAAGCAAGCTATGACAGAGTGCGTATGTAGGTAACTGAAGTCATTCTGCTTCTCATTCAAAGCATGGCAGGTAAGATCAAAGTCATCTTAAAATAAAGATTAACCTCAAAACAAAACCCCTTTGTACATACTGAACAAGTACTGTGTGCCAGACACTACCCTAAAAACGGGGGGCCACAAAGCCAAGGAAATCCTTCAGGGTCTCCCTTCAGAGCTTGTAATTGAAGCCACGTAAACACAGAGAAACTGCTAAGTGCCAAGAACACAAGGCACAGAAAGTCCCAGTGGAGCCCAATGTAGACTGAGGGATGGAGACAAGCTGCTGAGAGACAAGCTGACTCAGCAAAGCAGGCAGAGAAGATGGTGCAGGCGCAGGGACAAACATCCCAGGGCCTGTGGAGGAAGAGTTTGGTGAGCCCTGGTGCCTGTCGGGGGGGGGGGGGGACCACGGTGAGAAGAATGCCCAAGGTATTTACACGGCTCTGGCCTCGGAGAAACAGCCTGGGTGGGTGCAGAGTGAACTCCAGACCACCAGCTCCAAGGGGGCTGAGCAATAGTTTGCATAACAATGCAAATGCAAACTGATGAATCTGAGATTTAAAGATAGAAATCAGGTGGTGTTGGTGAAAAATTCAAAGGGAACAAGTTACTAGGTTAAAAAAGGTATTTTCCAGTGTTCTGCCTGAGTAGAGGGTCCCCATCAGTAAACCAAGAGCAGATTGTGTATCATCACAATTTTAGTTTCAGACATGACTTTGAGATGCTTAAAAAACATCCAGCTAGACAAATACATGCATGTTTGGAGCTCAGAGAAATAGATTTGTGACTCTCCAAACCACTACCGACATCCTGACAATGAGGAACAATCTTGGGGAGACCAGTGAGGCAGTAGGTGCTCAGGAATACAGATGAGGCAGGGTCAAATCCTCTCCACCCTCCAAGGATGTTAAGAAAGGAGTCAAAGGCTTAATAAAGGTCAAGTGAAGGTTGAAAGTGTCTAGTGAATTTCTCTCAGTCACCAGTAACCTTGGCAAGTGGTCTTCTAATGGAGAACAGAGTTGTAAAAGGAAGAGAAAGCACCAGGCACATTTTTGTACAAACCCCTCTTGAGACATCTGGCTGTAAAGAGGTGGAGAAGGACGGGGAGGAACGGAGCAAAATGTTTGAGCTACAAGTAGAATCTGAAAGGAATGAAGAGCAAACCTAGTAGCTGAAGACACAGATGAGAAAACTATCAGTGAACCAGGACTCTAAGGCAGAAGGAGTCTGGACCACTTAGTGCAGGACTGGCCTTTCACGGAGGGACACTTCCTGTTGGTATCTCAGGAAGGAGAAGAGGGATACATGCAGTCAGATTTAAAAGATGAGGGCATTCCTGACTCTTGGAAAAGACTTCTTGAAGATTTGGTTCAGTTACTAAAAACAAACAAACAAAAAACCATTAAAAACTTACCACTTCCTGACTAGATCTCTAGCATACCAATCAATCAATGGCACCATCTGCACTCCCAGCACCTACATGCCCCACGCACAGGAGGAACACAGCATAAGGTACCGCTGGGTCCCTCTGCTGCTCGTCTAAGGAAGTGCATTAACTACAAGAGGTGGCCCTTGTTCTTTTTCGGTTTACTGTCCCCTGCTCTAGCAGAAGCATAATTTACAAACACCTCTTTTCAAAGGTCAAAAATAATCTCTCGACATACCTCTGTCTAATCTGGTCCAGCTTTTCAGGGTCTGTAATAACCACCTGTACACCAAGCTTCATTTTTGTTTTCTGCAGGCTGAAGTCAAGGCAAGCAATTTTTGCATTAACTATTCTCTTGGGCATGCCTATAATTAAACATAATATTAAGTTCCTTTATAACTATCAGTAACACATTTCATAACATATACCCAGACACAAAGCATAATAGAATAACAGAGATTAAACTAAACTATATGTAAACACGAATTTAGATTGTTACATCTGACATTACAACCACATTTTTATGGCATTAAACACGTGTACTGTCTTCTAACCTGCATTTTCCCCAAGCTGTGTGCTTAAGTCACTGAAGAGAAACTGACATGATGTACAATTCCTTACAGAACAGTAAATGCACAGCTTGGACAGTCCACCTGAAGATGAACAGTATGCAGTCCACAAAAAAAAGCTATTTTAACTGCTAGTCCCCATAGCACGTGACCGAATTCCGAGGCTTACCCTGGGACCCCACCACACAGTTGAGTGCGTAGCCACTGATGAGCATACTCTCCACCTGACTTCTTCCGTGGGCTTTCAGAATGTTAATGGAATTGACTGGATAGCGAGGCTGGCCTCTCACATCTGTGTATTTTATAGCAAGTACAGCATCTACTACCATGTTAGCGAAGAAATCACCATTTCTAAGGCAACAGTTAAGGAGAGCAAGAGACTTGGAATGGACAACGATGCATATGAAAACCAAGGGTAATTCAAAGTGCTTCCTTTTCGAAACAAGCATTATTTACATCACCAAAATGCTAATATACTGTTACCACTATCTGCAACTCGTACTACTACGAACACTTCATATTACCGTCCCACCTAGAAGAGCAGGGAAGAAAGCAGGCAATACCTACACAGTATCACCTGGCACGAAAACTACAAGTTCTTTTAAAAAAGCCTCAACTTTACTGGAACACAAGGATACATTCCAATGATTTTGGACGACATTGATGTCTTAGCAGCATTAATCAGGCAATCTCTTCCCAGTTCATCTGTGTTAATAATTAGGTTTTCGCTAATATAACGCACTGCTTCCCTGTTTAGAGTGTGCGAGAGAAAACAAAAATTAACTTCCTATCCAAACCCTTGTTTTATCAGTGTCGAGTGCCAGGGGCACAGTGCCCCGTGCAGCCACTTCATGGAGGAAGGGGACATGGACAGACCCTCCCTCTTCAGTTCACAGCCACCTCACTCTGTCCCGTAAGCACAGCCACTAAGATCTGCCACCAGGAGAAAATGCAGTCAAATGGGAAGGAAACATCCTAGCCCTACTCGCCTCAAATATTAACCAAATGTAAGTTTTCCAAAATAAAGCGCAGTCATTAACATTTTTAAATGTTTATAATTATTTTAGCCAATAATGTAAAATTTTCTCTGCGTGAAAACAATCTTACTTGCAAGCAAGTCGATAGCCACTAATAACGGAGGTGGGGTGGATCTTCTGTTTGACTAGTTCATCCGCATTCTTCAGAAGTTCTGCTGCAATAATGACCTGTTGAGAAAACGCACACCGCTCTCACAGTAGCTGACACTCAACACGTGCAATGACTGCTAAACACCAACGATCAGACACTAAGCAGAATCTTGACGGCAGTGAAGTAACTAATTAGAAGCCTGAGAAAAGGAAGCCTGCAGCGTTTCACATACAAATGGCCAAAGCCAAGAGCCAGGAAAACGTTCTGGCCAAAAACCTAGCTCTGTGGTGTAGCAGCAAAGGACTACACACACGGCCACGTTCATCAGTGTCCGACAGACAGAGTGCACAGTCCAACCCCTCAAGCGACCTGTGCCGCCTCAGGTTACTACTGCCGGGTTTATGTTAAAGGTCGTTCGAAGCCCTGGCTGGTGTGGCTCAGCGGGTCGGGAGTCGTCCTGAAAACTGAAAAGCCACAGATTCGACCCCCCCAGTCAGGGCACATGCTTGGGCTGTGCACATGACATGTGAGAGGCAACCAATTGGTGTTTCTTTTTCTCCTCCCTTCCCTTCTCTAAAAAGATAAAATAAAATCTAAAAGCAATGAAAATGTCCTTGGATGAGGATTTAAAAAAAAACTGCTTTAAAAATAAATTAAAATCATTTAGACACTAGGTTTTTAATCAAAAAGACTTCAAAAATACCACTTCTTTAGGGGCAGATTATAACTGTATTTAAAAAATCCTATTATCATAAATAAGTTCCTTGTACAGAGACCAACTTTATTATTTTAGAAAAGATAGATTCCATTCTTTTATGGCCATATTTTTTTTTTTAGAGCAAATTATCTGTTCTTCACCAAAAAATTGTGTTTCTACATCAACATGCTGGCTGGCCTCCACGTTTACATGATGTCATTGGTCACGTGTTTACTGACTTCCTCCCACTTAGAGCCCATGAGAACGCCCTGTCAACGTTTAAAATATAAAAACATCTTGTTTTTAAAAACCAGTGAGACTGTTTTCTTCAGATAATTATAAAGGTAAGGTTTTAGAGATTTCTAAGTCTCAGGTCATGGGGCAGGGAAACATAAATGAGGGACCCATCCATATTAATTTGTTTCTTTTCTATTTCAATCTTGCAAACTAGCTATAACCCTCAATTTTTGCCAATTTTGTTTCTGAATCACTACCAAAAGAAACAAATTAAATCTTTTCCCTCTGATGTACGTAACCTACTTCTAACTCAGACACAAATGACTTACTGTGGTTCACTTTCTGAAAGCCTGATTTAGGAAAACTAGTCTTGGGTGGTCTGCCAGATGACTACCTACCACAGAGGTGGTCCCATCTCCCACTTCCTTGTCTTGCAGATCCGCCAGCTCACAAAGGACTTTAGCTGCAGGATGTTCAACCTCCAGTAACTTCAGGATGGTCGCACCATCATTAGTAATGGTTACATCCTAAGAAATTTGCAGGAAAAAAATAAGCAATCATCCACAGAAACAGAACATTCCCTATTAACACAACATGCATTCTGTTAGAACATACACACATTCACCTTTACCACACGTTCCAACATTAGCACTCTGCTTAAAAAATATATATATATAGTAAGATACTTAAGATCTTTTTAACTGAAAAAAAACATCTAGCTGTACTTACACCAATATCATCCACCAACATTTTATCCAAGCCAACTGGTCCAAGAGAACTTTTCACAATATTGGCAATAGAGGCTGCAGCCATAACTGTAGAAACGAAATAATGGAATTACTAAAACCCACTCCTTCAAATGGCAATCATTTCAGTGTCGAGCAAGTATACGGCATTCAACACTCTGAATTTTCCAAATCAACAAATCTCTCCTGATTGTCTAAAATAACAAGGTAATCTACTAGTCATAATTTCGGGTTTGGCCACCTCAGGGGGTGAGGGAGAGAGAGAAATGTACTATACCAGCCTTTTCCTTTAGAAATTAGCACATTAAAAAAATCATATAAAAGCAAACCATCGTTATCTGGGAATCAAGAAAGTGGGAATCCCAGGGCTCTGACTTTACTGCAAATTCATACAGAACAAAAATTGATAATCCACCAAATTATGCTGAGATGGACCTGAGATGGACAAGTACCCTTGCCTTCAAATGGCAAACGGTCTCAAAAGAGGCTCAACAACGAATGCTTTAATGCGCATCAATGTTCACCAGAATAAATTCACTTTAAGTACCCTTATGCTAACATTCGACTAAAATTTCGTCAGCTATTTTTTTTATTTCAAAAAGCTGTCGGCGACAGGTGGGGTAAGAACTGGATCTGGACGTCGGGCACCCAGCATCTACTGCCGATGACAACGCGTGGGGTAAAATGGACAAGTCGTCGGAATTCTGCCCATTTGCTCATCAGTAACACGAGCAATTGAAACCACTACTTTCTGGTCAATGGTACTAAAACGAGGCGCTCCTCGTCGTTAGACTCGGAACAAAAGGGCATCAGAGCAACCCAAGGGGACTCCAGGCACGCGTTAGTACCAGGGCTCGCTTTTTTAAACACCAGAGCCTGGGCACTCACACCAACCACTCCCATGCAGTGCGGTTCTCAGAAAAGTGCGGCGTCCCCCACTCCAGAAATGGCGAGACCGGCGGGGGTAGGACATGTACCCCAACCCCCAGACCCTTCTTTGGGGAGAGAAAGAAAACACAAGGACGGTATCCACGGCCCAAGCGGAGCAAGCTGGGGGCGGGGGCGCACTACGTCGACCCAACCCAGGCCTTGTCCGTCCTTACCGTTCTGGGAGCGGATCGTCTCCCCAGTGCTGCGGTCCCCGAACACGGACAAAGGCCCCTCCATCTTCGCTGCAGGGTACACGTTCGGCTTCACGCACACCGCGGACAACTAGCGTCTCGGTCCGTACGCCGGGCAGCGGCTACACCAGCCGCACGAGTCAGCAACGGCGTGGAACGGGCCCAGACGATGCCGCAGGGGCCGCTGGGAACACTACTCCACTCGCCCCAGAACCCCTGCGCCGCCGCGGGGCAAGGCGGGAAGAAAAAAGGGAAGGAGGGGCTGAGATGCTTGAATGAGCAGGAAGTGAAGAGCCGGCAGAGGGCGGGCTCAAGACTTCCGCTCAGTTAGAGAGCGAATGAGAAAGGCCCCAAAAGGTGGAACGGAAGTCAGGCTCCCGGAGAGCGCGAAGATGCTTTGTTGCGCATGCACATTTGTAGATTCTAGCGCCTTCTAGAAAAGGTGGTTCATCCTGGGGCGGAGCTTAGGGTGTGACGGGAAGGGGAGGGGCGGACCCTTCCCAGAGGCATAGCGGGGCTTCCAAGCTCAACTTGCGTCTTATTTAAGAGATTTTCCACCTTTTTTTCCATGTCGTGGCACACGCAATCTACTAAAATTTTGCAACACGCCCAAAAATACATTTCTTGACGATCTGACAAAAAGGGGAACTTTGATCCATTCATATCCGACAGCTATTTTTCTGTTGGCTGTTATTTTTAATTTGACAGTCTAAAGGAAGGAGGTCAGTGCCCAGGAGTAAGCAGGTTAGAATTCTTGCACGCCGGTTGCAAATGGATGGTTTATATAGTAACTATTTTCCTCGTCCTAAAATGTGGGAACTTGCTCCTAGAGCACGTAAATCACAAGCTTTGTTCCTGCTCTCCGAGTATAAACTTGGACCAGGGTGGGACGGGACAATGCTCTCCAAGGACCCCCGTCCGGTCCCCTCACCCCCGCAAAATGACAGCCACTGTTTCTGAAAACTGCATGTTGCTCTGTCCCATTCCCTCTCAGTGCCTAAAGGGGGTGTGCCGCTGCAAGGCCCAAGCTTTGCGATCAGAGGGCCCAAATAAGGTAGTGTGAAGTTACGGGTTCCTTGTGTGGGACTCTGCAAAAAGCTGTAAGAAGCGTGGTGTAAAACGGGTCGCGCCCACCTTCAAATACGTCACTGCGGAGCGGTGGGTCGGCTCTGGCGTCTGCGTGCACCCCAGCGTAAGATGATTGGAGGGGAGGAGATGACAGATTGTCCTCTCAGCCACTCAGTTGAAGGGGGATTAGTTCCAGGAGGAGGCGTGAATGACCGACGCAGCCTGCAGGCTTTTCCCGGAGTTAATATGGCTCCGGCCAGCGAGCCACGGGGTCGCGGTTGAGGAAAGGAGACTAAGCTTTTCCTAGGCTTTGGCCACGATCATGTCAACGATGGTGCTTCGGTCACGGTTCTGCGAGATGTTGTCGCTCTGCAGGCACCCCGGTAATTAATCTACTCACTTCTCTGAGGTTACTCCCCGGGGCCTGCACAGTAAAATGCATGTACAAGCCTTATTTTATGCCCAGCACGCCCCATGGAAGGGTGAACGAGCCAACAGCACTGTGATGACAGTCGTAGAAAATTAGGGACCGGCTTCTGAGATGGCTACATCCCGTAGCCAAGCATACTTTCCAGGGCGCGAAGATGGGAAGAAGGGGGTGGGAATATTCCTGTTTTGTTCGTATTCGTGATATTTGAAGACCCACCTGGTTGTGTCTGTTGTTAGGGCGTGGGGTCGCGGCGCTGTCAACCAGTTCCAAGCCAGAGGTGAAGCCTGAAGTGGACCCTCTGGGAAATGAAGCCGTTGCTCCGGAGTTCACCAACCGGAACCCCCGGAATCTGGAACTGTTAGCCGTGGCCAGGAAGGAGCGGGGCTGGAGGACAGTGTGGCCCTCCCGCGAGTTCTGGCACAGGTAACTAACTCTGCTTGTTGTTGACCGACAGGGCCATGCACGGTGCCCCACGCGTTGTTTGTTTTCCGTTGTATTCATCAATTCAGGGCCGGGTACAGCTACGGACTGAAGGAGGCAGAGCTGCTGCAGTTGGAGGAGAGGCTAGGGAGTGCGAGGGGCCGAAACACAGCAAGCAGATGTCAGGGAGAAAACGTAAAGGAGGTGGTGGTAGAATGGGGGACTGGGTGCCTACTAAAACCCCTCTGAGGGCCAGGAAAAAGCCCAGTTTTCAGCCAGGAAGAGCATTGCCAGCCGCGGACATAGAAGCATGGGTGGGAGCTTGGTGTGTGTGAGGATCTCAGCGGACAAAGGAGTGGATGGTATGGGATGGAAGTGGAGAGGTTGGTAGGATGCAGATTGTTAACTTCAGATTGTAAATCGGAGTAAGCTCTTTAGATCGTATTTTCACTGCAGTGAGAAAGTTTGAGAGGATTTCAAGTTTGAGCCTGAATTAAAATCATTCTGGTTAAGGGAGAACACAGTTTTAAGGGGCAAGGGTAGAAATGAGGAGACCGTTAAGGCATCTCTTTGTTATAAGGATGGTTATTCATCTAACACTTTCTGTTTGCCAGGAACCATGCTAGTGGGTTCATATGCATTTAAGTCTTTGATCCATCTCATGTTTATTTTGGCATTAGCTGGAATATAAAGGCGTAGGGTTAAATTTGTCTGTACCCCGTACACTGTAGGGACAGCAAATTTAGCTTTACCACCTCAAATCCTTTTGGACATAGATGCTATGTAAATATAGCTCTGCTCTCAGAAACCCCAAATTTCTCTTCGGTGTTTGAGGTTAAGTGGAAATGTATGGTTTATTTATTATTGAGGATATCCTCATGGAGCCAGAGGAAAAATAACCTTTCCCAAGTAAAATACAGGTCAAGTACATTGAAGTAAATGAACACAATATTTAGGCTCGTATTCACCTGAGGTCTCTTATTCTTAGAATTCTTTTATGGTTTACTCTCCTGCCCTCATTCAGGTTACGGGTTATAAGGACCCAGCATCACATAGAAGCACTTGTTGAGCGTCCCAGTGGCCAGACTGTGGTTTCCGCATCCACACGGGAATGGGCCATTAAAAAGCACCTTTACAGCACCAGAAACGTGGTGGCCTGCGAGTCCGTAGGGCGGGTGCTGGCGCAACGGTGCTTAGAGGCGGGAATCAACTTCATGGTCTACCAGCCGACTCCGTGGGAGGCAGCCTCGGACGGGGTATTTTTGTTTTCATGTACTTACTTAGTTGTGTTCATTCTTGACATCAGAAAGTTGCATAAGAGCAGTGGTTCCATATTTCAAGCTCTTTTCGTGTGTCAGACTCTAAGATGAGCATCCTGATGAGCATCACCCCACCTCATCCTCCCAGCAGCCCAAGGGGCAGGACCAGTGTTCTCCGCTCTGTACATGAGGCACTTGCTGGAGGCTGGCAGCCCCGTGTCGTTGTGGGGGAGGTTCCAAACTCGAGGTGACTGGTTACAGCCACGATGTTGACCGCTCTGCTCCCCTGTTCATGCACTAACACCCTGTCCGTATAATTTTAAAATACTGGAGTCTATATCTATATTCTCTTTTTTCTTATCTCTGTCATTACTTAAAGATCACTTCCTGAAAAGCTGGTATTCAGGGGAGTTAGCAAAGAGCAAACCAGGTGTTTATTTCTCTTCTCTTAGGAAGGGGACTATTTGTTGTCAGCTTACTTGTGGTAGGCTGATTTTCTTTCATCTTTTCCTGTTTTTTCTGATCTTTAAACCCAGATGAAACGACTGCAGAGCGCAATGACCGAAGGCGGTGTGGTGCTGCAGGAGCCGCGGAGACGTTATCAATGAGGGAGTGGCCTCATGCGGCACGTGCGAGTGTCCAGCTGTCAGCGCTTCCATCCGTCCGTCCGGAGAGAGCATCTGGAAGAACAGCCGGCTTGAAAGTGTTGTGCGATAATGTAGCTGCAGGAAGGAGCTCGCAGTGGCATCGGCCCCTCCTTGCCTGGCGTGTGTGGGGCTGATGTCTTAGGGAAGCATCCGAGGATAGCCGTCACCAGTTATAATTAACTCTTGAAGTTCAAATTAAATGCTTATACGTTAAAGAATAAAGGCATATTCTGAACTCCTAATTTCTGGTAATATGAAATTTCTTCACTTTTTTGGCACACTGTGGCAAGTGTGTGAGGAACGTAGGTGGTTCACGTGGAGCACCTGCTGCCGTGTCCAGCTCCCAGTGGGCGATCTGAATGGTAGCTGATGCTGCTCAGGGTGTGGAGGTGGTTCCAAAATGTGAAATATCAGTATCGGTTTATTGCAAACAGTAACGTGCAGATAAAAGGGACAAGTTCTAACCTCAGTGGGGCTCCTGGACCCTACCAGGCAGAACCTAATTGGAAGGAATAAAGGAATGCGGTGAGGTGCTGAAAACGGAGGCAGGAGTGGACAAGGTGAGTATATGCTGAACTTGGCCCGAAGTGAGCACTGGTCAGGTAAGAGATGAAGCTTGGAGTGCATCGGGTTACCCAGAGGGTGGAGAAGGGTGACAGTGGGAATCTCGGCAGCTCCCCTAAAGGTGCTGATTAGGTCAGGGGAGGTTGAAGAGGGAACACTGTAGACATTTCAGGCAGCTTCTAGGGCGTCTCCCTCTGGTTACTGAACGTGCAGCCGGTTATGTAGACGGGAAATAACATTCTTACTGTCAGTCTGGGTATTCAGTGTGTATTTTAAATAAATACGTGTGCACCAACACTTTTTAAAAGTACAGTTGATCCTGAGAGGCCTCTGGAACGTGATGGCTTATTCCCCTTTTGATCATTAAATACCCCAGTGAAGACATGTAAATGTGTATGTTATGGTTCTGCTGTTTTCTTACCTCGCCCGGAAGACTGACTTGGAGCACCTCACTTTTTATGGAGTTTACAATGAATATATTTGTATTACACCAGCTTCATGGAGTCTGTCTTTTATAAACTGATTCTTCACATTATTTCTCTTTTTTCTTTTTTACATTTATCATTTTTTCCACATTTTTTATTGTTATTCAAGTACAGTTGTCTCCATTTTCCCTCACTTTGAAAGTCATGGTTCTCTAGAAGGCTATTTGATCAAGTCTAGACTTCAAGGGAAGATAGAAAAAAATCATAGCTAGGACAAGTGGCTTATGGAGATAGGCGATGATGAGACAGGGCTCACCCGCAAGTGATGCTATAGGTGGGGACTTTTCCCAGCAGGGAAAATCACTATTCTAGTTCTCTCATTGCATCAAGGATTCCTTCAGTTCAATTGGCAATTCTTGGAGCTCCGTGTGGCGTTTCAGATAAGGCATTAAAGACAGTGACGGTGCTGCCCCGGCAGCTCCCTGGGTTAGAGCACAGTCATTCTGCAAGGCTGCAGCTTGGGTCTCAGCTCAGAGCAGGCACGGGACGCCACAGTGAATGCACCAACCAGTGGAGCAATGAAACCGATGTCTCTCCCTTCCCCTCTGTCTCTCTGAGATAGGTCAGTCACTCAGTAACAGGACAATGATGATGCAAAGTAAGAAAAGATGGGGTGTAGGGGAAGGGGTGGGGGCAGACCAATACTGGTAGGGATGGCGCAGTTGGGCAGAAGTGGCGATTTAGGAAACAGGTGAGGTGTGGTCGCTTCAACTGCACCCACCCCGGGGCGCACCTGCATTGTCTGTTTACTGCACTTCCTTCGGGGGGGCTGTTGGTGACCTGATTTTACTTTTTCAGGCTCTACCTTCTGCTCAAGCCTCAACGTTCTAGGTCTCCGTATTTTGTCGTGACTGCCAAGAAACAGCGGCGGAGCAAGGTAAGTGGGCTTTGACTGCAAAGCTGAGTCGACTCTTACCCTAGTCCGCACAACAAACACCGAAGAGCAGACAGGAGGTGTGTGGGTGGCCAGTAGCCCAATCCGAAGGCTCAGATGGGGCGCGGGGGCGGCCCGTTTCCTGCGCGCGGGCCCTTTAAGGCCAGCGGCATGGCGGGAGCGCGTGGCCGCTTTGGGTGACCTCAGCGGAGCTACGTGGCTGCGTGACCATGGACGTGGGCGCCGAGGAGTTTGAGCAGAGCCTCCCTCTGCTGCAGGAGCTTGTCCTGGAGGCGGACTTCGTGGGTAAGGCGCAGGGATCCAGCCTTTTCACAGGGACCTTCTGGGCTAGGAGAGCCGGCGAAGGGTGTGGTGTGAGCGGGAGGGGGCGGGGAGGCGAGGCTGCACTGGCTGGGACAGTTGCTAGGCCTGGGGAGGCTCAAACTGAGAGGTACCTACTAGGCCTGGGCAAGGGCGTGCCAAACAGCAGTTACCCCCTTGGCTCCACAGTGGTCCAGGTGGAGCCGAGCCCAAGGAACTGGCTTATCCTTGCTTTGGCTCCCTCCATTGCCCCTTTTTGAACTCACCTGGCCTGTTGAGCACAAAAGGTGAGCCGAGTAGTCAATATCCCACCTGCAGCATTTAGAGTGTGAAGAGCCGAGGCAGGGGTCTGCACCTGGGGACTCTGGTCTCTTTTGCCTTCCCCGCAGGTCTGGACATAGAGTTCACCGGCCTCCGCACCAACCTGTCCAGGTCTCAGCAGATCAGGTAAAGCTAAAGCTGCCTTGAGCTGAGCGAGAGAGGACCTGGCCTGCAACCCAGGCATGTGCCCTGACTGGGGATCAAACCAGCGGCCCTTTGGTTCGCAGTCCGAGCTCAGTGCCCCTCTGGGTGTCACCCTGGCCACATCCGTGTTGTTTCTCAGCAAGCACCTGTTGGCATTGGGCGGGCAGGACACTACTTTACATGGGGTTCTGGGGACCTGGCCTTGTGCACCGAACGCTAGGAGTGTTCCCCAGCCGGAGCAAGGCCAAACAGTGCAGAGGCGCGGAGGCCAGCACCTTGCTGCGCTGCCATTGCCCAGGGGATGAGACACCCGTGTTTTCACAGCCTTTTCGACTTGCCGTCCGAGTGGTATCTAAAGACCCGTCAGAGTGTTCGGCAGTTTACAATCTGTCAGATTGGTGAGTTTTGATCTTCAAATGTTGGTCACGAATGACACTTTTACTGTCTTTGTGTCTTTTTTTCCCCAAGATTTTATTTATTTATTTATTTTTAGACAGAGGGGAAGGGAGGGAGAAACAGAAGGAGAGAAACATCGATGTGTGGCTGCCTCTCACCTGCCCCTCACTGGGGACCTGGCCTGCGACTCAGGCGTGTTCCCTGACTGGGAATTGAACCAGCAACCCTTTGGTTCGCAGGCCAGCTCTCAGTCCACTGAGCCACACCAGCCAGGGATGTTTCTTACTGATCAAACAGCTTTGACATCTTCCAAAGAACCCAGCTATCATTTTGTATGCTTGTTTGGTTTCTGGCTGCGTTGCGCCTGTCAGACCTAACCCTTTGGAATAAGCAGAAATCAGTTCAGCAGCAGAATTTTCATGCCGAAATACATCAACATTAAGGAGCCTGTACCATCTCTCAAGGAAGCATGTGTAGGATTTTTGTTTAGAGAAAACTTATGCAAACAAGAGCGTCCTGCACACATCTGGTTCCACATCTTGTTGTTTTCTGCATCATTTTGGTTTAGAGATCTCTCCGATCGCAGCACTGCAGACCTCCTGGTATTCCAAACTGGGAATGCGTCTCCAGACTCAGCTTCCTCGTGATGCCTACTTTGGTTACTGTTTGTGATAAAACAAGGCGTGCTCAGTGAATGCACAAACAAGCCAAACAACAAGTCACTGTTTTTCTCTCTCTCCCTCTCTCGCACTCGAAAGTCAATCAATTGAAAACAAACACAAAAAAACAAGGTCACACTGACTCTTAGTATTTGTACTTTTCTGTGCTTTTGTGAGCATGTGTGTTTGGAGCACTTCCAGCAATGGAGTGGCAGCGTTAAAAAGAGTGTGTGTTAAAGCACAGCTCTGTGTCGCCCACCCGCTCCTCCTCCTGCCAGGCATCCGTGCAGTTCAGTGACTCACTGACTGCAGTGAATGTACCTGTTTCCCTCGCTCGCACTGGCTCTTATCATCTTGAACGCTTTTGTCCACCTAGTAGAGGAGAAGTGATGTGATTGTTAAATTGATTCCCATTTTTAACGCAGGGTCAACACACTTTTTCTGCAAAGGGCTATTCAGTAAATGTATTAGGTTGTGCAGACCGTATGGTTTGTTACAACTACTCAAGGTTGCCATTGATAATGGGAAATCAGCCTTAGATAGTATTCAAATGAATGAGCGTGGCTGTAATCCAATAAAACTTTATTTGTAACAACAGGCCTTGACCCATTTTACTGACCCTTGCTTTTCCTGTGAGGGTGGGCATCTGTGGGTGTTGTTCTGTGTCTTTGTTCTTTCCTATTTCTGTTGCGGTTGTGTTACTTAATTTTAAGCCCTCTTTGAGAAGTGTGGGAAATAGATATGTTTCTATTGTTCTCCCCCTACTTGAAAGTCTTTTTCACTTTGTATGTGGTCTTTTTAACAATGCAGACAATTAAATGTTAAAGCAATTAAATGTATAAATTGTCGTGGTTTTAGGTGTTTCCTCTGGTTAGTTTTGAAACTTTAAAAATGTAGACTTAATTTGACTTCTGTTTGAAGAACCATCCAGAATTATATTTTAGTAATTTCAGCATGAGTAAGTTTGACAGCTTGTATTTTGAACCTGTCTCCTCCTCCTCCTCCTCCTCTTTTTCTTTTTTAAAAGAGGTTATCTCCTTCTAAAGCTCGCACAGTTTTCTGAAAGCAAAGTACTGTTCAAAATGTTTCGCTTTAGTGTGGTAGTCAGCCCCCGGTAGCCCTTCTGGGCACTCACCTCCCTGCTGTCATTCCTCTAGGACTGTCCGTGTTTTCCAGCCTTGAAGGGGAGCCAAACAAGTATGTGTAAAGTCCTCCCCAAAACACCCAGCTCCCCCTTACCTGCTCCCCCAGATCTGCTCAGGCTCCAAACCACTTTGGGCCTGGACGCCCCATGTCCTCCGCTTCTGTGCCCTTGCACCTGCTCCCTTCCCTGAAGACTCCAGCTCGTCCTTCCAGTCTCTCAAAGCAACATCATTTCTGGGCGCCCTTCCTGCCCCGTGCCGTGCACCTTACGCACGCCTTTTCCTGTTTCCATTGTCACCTGCATGCCCCTTCACGATAACCACAAACACCGTGTA